TCCAAACCCTCGGCGGGAGTGCCGCTGCGCTCCCAAGCAGCGCACTCTCCAGTGCACCACCAGGCCAGCCCATCTATCTTTCTTTCTTTCTTTTTTTCTCTTTCTTTCTTTCTTTCTTTCTTTCTTTCTTTCTTTCTTTTCTTTTCTTTTCTTTTTTTTTTTTTTTGTTTTGGTGGCTGGCCAATACGGGGATCTGAACCTATTACCTTAGTGTTAACAGCACTATGCTCTCCCAAGTGAGTGAACTGGCCAGCCCATGTTCTTATTTTCAATGTGCACTCTGCTCTTCAGTCTCTTGCAGGAATAATACTAATAAAGTGGGTAAAACAGTGTCTAACACAGGAGTTAGGTGCAGTAAATGGCAGGTATGATGGTATTGTTACTAGATAACCACTCACTGTTAGTATGCAGACACTGATGGAAGCCGAGAAGAGGGAAGGGAATGCACCAGTAAGATACATCTACCCACCCCACTTTGTTCCATCTGGCCCTAAGAGGCACAGACCTATTCGTGGTAGCCACAGAAAGTAGGAGTAAAAATCCAGGAGGAAATAAAACTTGAGGATGAAGAGAATGTGGAAATGGAGCCCAGGAAATAACTAGTACTTCACACTTTGGAGAAATAGTCAAGTGTTGAGCTAAGATGAGGTTGAAAGCAACACCTGTTATTAAAGTTTATATAATAACTGCATTTATTTTTATAATTTTGCCTTTCAAATTTTATTTGTGAGTAATGATGAGTGATGTTTGATGAACACCTAAAAATGTTTTTGGTTGATTTAAAAATTTGAGAAATATTTAAGCATATGCTAATAAGATTTAGTTTTTGTTGGGTGCTATTGATTTTACACTGTACTGAATGATTTTTTGGATTTTCTTATTTAATATTTTAAACAAACCTGCAAAATATGTATTACAGAAGAATAAAATGCGGTCCAAGAGGTTAAATGACCACGCGTTTACAGAACGAGTTAGTATTACAGGCAGAAATCAAACCCAAAACTCTCTGACTTCAAACACAATGCAATTGTTCACTGTGCTTTAAAAGCTTGAGTACAAATATAATAATGAGTATATATAAAACATATGAACTCATGGTAAGTCACACTCGGCTTAAATAAATGGGCCAACCATTTCATAATCTATTTTTGTGGTTGATAAATGCAGTTCCTTAAAATTACAATCAACATAAATATTTACATTGATGGACAAATAAGCTAGTTCATATAAATATCTCTAAAGACTAATGTCGGCTTAAATAAATGGGCCAACCATTTCATAATCTATTTTTGTGGTTGATAAATGCAGTTCCTTAAAATTACAATCAATATAAATATTTACATTGATGGACAAATAAGCTAGTTCATATAAATATCTCTAAAGACTAATGTGACGTTAATAAGTTTTAGCATACATTGATCACTTAAAATGTGTAAAGCAGTGCTGTCAGCACTTTAAGTTAGCTCAATAAATGCAATTATGTAGGTGCTATTATAATCTCTACAAACATGAAGTCTAAACTCACAGAGGTCAACCGCCCAATAAGTGGTAGGTGTAAATTGCCCTCGTGTTCTTTTATTCTTCAAATATCACTGTTTGTCTAAACACTATTTTCACATGCTTATACTAGCAGTAATTCATTAATGTCTCAGAGTAATTAGGCATAGTGATGTGAATAATGCCCAATAACTACAAAAAGTAATAAAGAAACTAAATATCCAAATAGAAAAAAATTTATGAAAGTATATTTAAATAATAAGATAGACAGCTGTTTGATTTTAATGTCTTTAAAATAAAAATCTATTTTAAAGTTTTAAAAATAAAATATTTTAATTTTAACCTGAAAAATATATGAAAAAGAACATTAGATGTTACACTTAAATTTTAAAATTCAAAATAACTTTTTTTAAAGAAAGGCAATAATATCTTACCTTCAGCCCTAGCACAGTGCCTGTTATATTGTAAAAACTCAATATTGGTTGATTTAAATTTTAACTAACAGATTTATATTGAAGTTATTTTGAATTGAAATAATGCCAGTATTTTTATTCTTTATTCACAAGCCCATCTTCTTCTGACTATTTTAGCAAGTTCCTTTTTGTGAGAGATACAAGATTTACGTTCATTAAATTCCAATTCAGAATATATATCTCATATACTGCTATTATTTTATCAAATATTTATAGATATTTTACTTTAATTAGGGAAAATAGGATTATCTAGAGAAAATACAGGGAAATAAAAGCATCCAGTACCATAAAATACTTGCTATATACTTAATTAGGGATAACTCAGTGTAAACAAACCCTAAAGGCATTTTTAGTCATTTTTATACACAGTCATAGTACGAAAGTTCTGGTGGAAAAGATCTTCTTCAAGGAATTATGACAACTGAAGTAAACCATAATAGATTGCCAGGAGAGTTAGCTCAAAATGTCCTCTTTAAGTTGCAGTGAAAAAGGTGTAATATTAAATTCAGTGGTGGTAATAATTATCAATACTAGGTATGGAAGAGGTAAAATATGTGAGTAACTTCATTTAATTTTTTGTCCAGAAAAATTCATAAATATTGTTTCTGCATCCTCTAAGAAAGACAATAAAAATAGCCTGGGTGAGCACTCTGAAACTGTTTTCAAAGTGCCACGCCCATAAAAATGTGTTTCTGAGTGCATAGTTGTTATGACATTCTTTATATCCCAGGTGCTCAGCTGGTATTCCAGTCCCATAGGACTGCTGGCAATGTGTACCTAATACTGTCTCTTAACATTGTGTAAGACCATGCTTCTAAAACTGAAACACACAAAAATGTGCATAGGTCTAGTCAAAACTATAAAGTAAACAGAGTGGATCTTCCTGAACTGTCAATTTATCCTATAACAAAAGTAATCACACACTGTAAATATGAAACTAAATAATATATTCACGTATTTTCAAGGTAAAGCATTTTTGACAAACATTATGCTTTTATCAGGACACTTTCGTGTACACTCAGAAGTACCCATGTACTCTCTTAAATTGNTATGCTTTTATCAGGACACTTTCGTGTACACTCAGAAGTACCCATGTACTCTCTTAAATTGATAGGAGAACTTACATGGAAAAATTTAACAAGGACTGGCTTAAAGAGTCCCCCCTTCCAAAAGTTCTCATAGATTCTCCAATCATAGTGCCTAGCAAAATTAAAGATTACTTCCTCAGTACACCCAAAACATTTCTTCCATGTGGAATAATTTCAGTTATTAACTCTTTTTATAACTCTCCAATCTGAATTTTTCTAATAGGGAAACTGGTTATTTCTTCTCCGTCTAAGCAGTTAGCCCCATACAACATTCATAGTTGGCACTCAGTGTGTTGAGTATATTAGAAATTCTTTATATCATAAAGGTGATACTCTATTGGCAGAATTTGTCCTCTTACAAATTGGGTAAAATAAATAGTTTTGAAATAATCTGTTGAATCACACTTTATAGAAAGTCTTTCATCCCTGTCCACTGCCCTCTTTCCAAACTCCCCTGCATCTTTATCAGGTTTCTCTGCTTTCCTCTTTCACAAAAGCTATTCACCAGAGCCTTTGCTGTTAGAAGACAAATTATGAGTTAATTCACATTCAAGTGTGACTGCTAGCAAATCTATGTAAATTAGTATCCATAGAAGTATTGGTTTATTAGTAGAAGACACTGGATTTTCTTAAGAAATGAATGTCTAAAAGTTTACTGTGTAGGAGAACTTACATGGAAAAATTTAACAAGGACTGGCTTAAAGAGTCGCCCCTTCCAAAAGTTCTCATAGATTCTCCAATCATAGTGCCTAGCAAAATTAAAGATTCCTTCCTCAGTACACCCAAAACATTTCTTCCATGTGGAATAATTTCAGTTATTAACTCTTTTTATAACTCACCAATCTGAATTTTTCTAATAGGGAAACTGGTTATTTCTTCTCTGTCTAAGCAGTTAGCCCCATACCACATTCATAGTTGGCACGCAGTGTGTTGAGTATATTAGAAATTCTTTATATCATAAAGGCGATACTCTATTGGCAGAATTTGTCCTCTTACAAATTGGGTAAAATAAATAGTTTTGAAATAATCTGTTGAATCACACTTTATAGAAAGTCTTTCATCCCTGTCCACTGCCCTCTTTCCAAACTCCCCTGCATCTTTATCAGGTTTCTCTGCTTTCCTCTTTCACAAAAGCTATTCACCAGAGCCTTTGCTGTTAGAAGACAGATGATGAGTTAATTCACATTCAAGTGTGACTGCTAGCAAATCTATGTAAATTAGTATCCATAGAAGTATTGGTTTATTAGTAGAAGACACTGGATTTTCTTAAGAAATGAATGTCTAAAAGTTTACTGTATTGGCTATAATATAATATCAGGAAACTTCAGCCTTTAAAAATTATTAGCTAATTGTTTTTTCTTTCAACACAAGCCCTCTTTCATGTACAGAAACTCTATTACTCTGTTTATTCCCATTTTAATACATGCAGTCAAATATTGATTAGAAGCCTTCCCTTTTCTGGCATAATGACAGAGGTACAGAAAGCATAAAGTCATAGTCTGCCTTTTCAGGGCTCACAACCAAGTTGGTGGATAGAGAAACAATAGCTAGCATTCACTGAAAATTACTATGCACCAGTCACTGTATCACATAGAAATTACTTATTTACTCCTTATCACATTTTTATTGAAAATATTATATTGCAACAGAGGAAACTGAGGCATAGAGAAGTCTAGTAAGACACAGAGCCAGGACTAAGTCAAATACTGACTCTTCTACAGCCTTCCAGAATGCATAAGGTACATGTTTTTCACTGGACCTGTGGTTCTGGGACTCATTTTAGTCAAAGAGACTTAAATAAGCTAATAAAAGTTTATACAATCTCTACAGATACATAATGTATATCATTTCCAAAGGTTTGTGTATATCTCTGAAGCAGGTCAATGGACTTCAGGACATGAACCCCTGTACTATCTAATCTACTGCAGTGGCATTAGATAATGTGGGGATCCAACACACTGCAGCCATCGTCTCTGAAGCAGGTCAATGGACCTCAGGACATGAACCCCCGTACTATCTAATCTACTGCAGTGGCATTAGATAATGTGGGGATCCAACACACTGCAGCCATCAGGGGTGCCTTTGAGTCACTAATCACATTCAGATGCAACCAGAAGTCATTGTCCAAAAGAATTTTATGGTCATGGAAAAGAAAGCAAGAATAGGTTTAAACAGATAGGTTTAAAGCAAAGTTTCTAGAAAGTTCACAGTTTTAAAAGGACTAGACACTTACGAACTACAATGGTTTTCAATGTGAGAACCATTTGGATTACACAATTATATATGCTGGTGGGAAGAGTCTAAATAACCGAGGTAGTTCTTTGTGAGAAAATAACTGAATGAAGGACACACGTTTTAGGGGAAAACATTAAGATGTGAATCAATGCTGCTTCTTTCCATTAGATTCTATTGAAATTGTCATGCAGGTATCACATTGTTTACTAATTTCTGCATAGTAAGGACAGAACTTTTAATAGCTCATAAAAGTGTTTCTCTGTAGAACTCAATAAGTAATAGTGGTGCTTTGTCTCTAAATTACAAGTGTGGTACTTTTCACAGACCTGAATCTGATGCCCAGTTCAGATTATCAAGTTAAAACGCTAAACCATTATCATGTAACTTTTTTCATTATCACCACCACTAAGAAACCTTTTCAGACCTTTTATTTCAATGGCTCCCCAATTTTAATATTTCACATGTTCTGTACATCTGTTTATTTACTGTATGAATTTTCTGGGCTTTACGTATTTAAAAATTAAGACTGTTTTGCCTCTGAGAACCAACTTATACCTCCTTGGAGCCCACATCACCCTCTTTGAAAATGAACATGCTAAACTGTAACTTTTTATAAAAGTAAATTTCATATAACAATGATTTTTGTAAATAATTATATGAGAACCTTTTATTTCCCGAGCACCATAGTAACCCTTGAGAATCAAAAATGGAGAGATATCACTTAAGTAACTTAGAATCAAAACAGAAAAATATTAAAAATCATTATAAAATTCCATAGAAATAATCCTTACATCATCTAGTATTATCTTGAGGTTATATGGGTGGGTAGAGAGCCAATACTGTTTGTTTTCTATTATTGTGACCCAGGTTTAGCCCCTGTTAGTGTGGCACGGTAAATACCTGATAGAGCCAAACTAACTTTTAGTTGTATTACTGTTTAACTTATGTGTTTCTTAGAGAAACTTTTTCAGTAAAGAAATGAATCTTTTCTTTTCATATCTGCATGTAGTGCATGTAGCTAATAATAAAAAATGAAAATATAGTTTTTTCAAACCATAAATATTTGTAATAATTTGAGATTTTCTAATGCTTAGAAGAGACATTTCAATTAAAAAAAAAGAATCATATTATTAATGCTTTTAGTTAGCTGAGTGATATCAGATAGATGGATTGATAGATTAATTGAAAAATTGATAGATCAATAAATGAATGGATGGATAAATAGACAGGTACGTACATATAACAGTCCTTTATTTTATTTTATTTTATTTTTGTAGCTTCTCTTTGTGAAACTAATCCTGGCACAATTAGGATTTTTTCCAACCAAGTTACTGCCACCTTTCTTATAGAATCAGATGAAAATGATTATATTGGATTTAATGCAACATATACTGCATTTAACAGCAGTGAGCTCAATAGTAAGTATTGCTTATTCTTTAGCCCTTGAATTTTCAGATGCTTTAATGTTGTAATGGAATTTTAAAAGTAGCAGAATCTAAAATTTTAATTATGCAAGTTCTTTAATGAGTATCTTTTGTGTGCATAGCTCTTTACTTGATGCTTAGAGAGAAATGAGAAATTAGAAAATAGTTCATGTTCTTTAAAAGAATCAAATAACCAGTTTGAGAACAACTATAAATAAATATAAAAATTAAATTTAAATTTTATATACTGCAAATACCTCAAGTTAAAAATATTATTAGCATAAAACTACTTAAGAGAAAGTTGCACATAACTTACTTAATTTTGATCAAAGGTACTAAACTGAGTAGTAAGGGGAGTAAAAAATATGAAACAAAAATTGTGTGGGTAAACCAATGGAGACAAGAAGCCTGTATTTGCTAAAGCCCTGACGGGATATAAGAGATACATTAATTTAACACAGTTGGCAAAATAGAAAAGATTTTTTGTTTGTTTTTTGTTTTGTTTTGTTTTAACTAAACGGAATAAAATGAAGTTAAGATTAATAAAAAATAAGGATTTTATGTATGCCACTCAATTATAAACTGCATAAAGTTAGATTATTTTCAATGCAATCTAATACAATTACTCACATTATGGACTTAATTTGAGTTTTGTTTTTTATTCTTCTTTTTTTTAATTCACAGATTATGAGAAAATCAACTGTAATTTTGAGGATGGCTTTTGTTTCTGGGTCCAGGATCTAAATGATGATAACGAATGGGAAAGAGTTCAGGGAAGCACCTATCCCCCTTTTACTGGACCAGATGTCGACCACACTTTTGGCAATGCTTCAGGTATAGTTCATATTTAGTTCATAAATCAAAAGGGAAAGGATGTATGTTTTTCTGTGGTTTAAAGTGAGTAGTATTAAATGCAAAGCAGTCCTTTTCAGATTTTCTTTTTTAAAATAATGGACTAATAAATGCATCTAAAGGAAATATGATAATCAAATAGGTAAGTAAAAGTGAGTGTGTTTCAAGAACTATATTCTTTTGCCCTACATTCGCAACATGTTGAAAAGTACACAGAGGCCATTAGAGACAAGGAGAGTAGGCTGTCACCCTGCTTTTGCCATTATTATTAGCTAAATAGACTTGTGCGAGGTAATGAACTGTTCTGAACTTTGGACTACTTTGCCTTAATTTCCATTTTCTGGTTGATCATTGCTATTGCACAGAAATACAATGAATTTTTGTGTATTTATCTTGTATCCTGCAGTCTTCCTGAACTTGTTTATTAGCTCTAATAGTTTTTTTTCAAAGAATTCCTTAGAGTTTTCAATATATAGGATCATGTCATCTTGAAGTAGAGATAGGTTTATTCTTCTAATTCTAAAGCGTGATCCTAAGGAAAGAGTTGTGATTTGTAAGTATGTTTTTCATGTGAATGGGATGCTAGAATGGAATTCCAGGTGGAAACATTAACATTGGAGACAACAATATTTGACTGAAGAAAACAAATTATGGATAAGTTCCAGGACATAATGAATTTCTAGTGCAAAAATCACAAATGAAAAGGCCGGCCCTGTGGCTCACTTGGGTGAGTGCGGTACTGTTAGCAACGAGGCTGCAGGTTCGGATCCTACATAGGGATGGCCGGTGCGCTCACTGGTTGAGTGTGGGGTGGACCACACCAAGCCAAGGGTTGTGATCCCCTTAACGGTCAATAACAACAAAAAAATCACACATGAAAGCTTTGGAAGCATGCATTTATAAAACCAAATATAATCACTGAGCAGAGAATTACAAATCTGGAAGGAACATGGATCTTAAAAAGTAAGGAAAATTACAAAAAGAAGAGAGTGAAAATTTGTGCACTTACATAATTTTCTTAGCCACAACTCACCCCAAAATAAGACTTGTTGATAGATTAATTATGAGAATACAATTCAATTCAAAATAAATATTAAAAGCCTTCTTTAACTAGGCATGCTTGCAAGCATTGAGGATTCAGATCACATATCACCAATTCTAGGAAGTCTGTCTAGAACCCCAAAGTTGAAATCTTCCTTTCTGTTAAACATTTTAAGCGCCTCTTTTGTTTTTTTTTATTGCATGACTTTATAATTGCTTACCTGTTTCTTTCTTTCTACCACAGTATTCTCTTCAGAAACAAGAACCTACTCACTTTTATCTTTGAATTCCTAAGGCATTCAATGGCCTAGAGCCTTAATAAATCTGTGAACAAAATAAACCAGACTTTCTGCTCTCATGGAACATGTACTCCAGCAAAGAAAAACAGAAAATAGGCAACATACCGGAGAAGTAATCAATTTTGGGGGGAGGGGGTATGTTAAATGTGAATGAGTACTCTGGGAAAATATAAAACTTGGTAATGAGAAAGAGGAGGGCAGGTGCTAAAGTGCTATTGCAAATTAAAATGGAGTGATCAACTCAGGTCTCCTTGAAAAGTGACATATGAATCAAAACTTAAAGGAATTAAAGGAACTGTCCAGACAGATTATTCCAGACAGAGTGAAAACAGCTGAGACTCTAAAGGGAAGCATGTCTGACTTGTTTGAAGAAAAGTCAGGAGTCCAGAGTGGCTGGAGTGGAGTAGGGCAGTAGGGTCCAGATGATGATCGACGTCTTCTGTGGCCTCAGCTCTTTCTCTGAGTAAACCAGGGAGCTAGTTGAGGTTCTTGAGCACAGGAGTGATAGTATCTGCTCTGTCTGGAAGGCAGAGAATAGTTTGTGGAAGAGCAAGAGTATTGAAGGGAGATCAGTGGAAGGTAGAAGGTTATTATCTAACCAGAGAAAAGGTCATGGGACTCAGATCAATGGAAGAAGATATAGTAAGAAGAGGTAAATTCTGAAAGTAGGGCCAACAGGATGCTACTAAATTAGTTACCAGGATAGACCTATGCATAAAAAATTTTCTCTGTGTAGCTGGCCAATCCCATAAGACCAAGAATGTTTAGTACTGAAAATGATGGCATGAATACTCTCATACATAATTAATCTTCTTTGAATAAGTTATCTCCCAGAGCCCGATTCTCCATGGATGTATTAGTAACCTGCACAGCTGAAGACCACCCCTAAATGATAACCATCCCAACCCTCTAAAGAGACCTGGCTTAAAACTGTCAAATAATCTGGTCATTTTTCCCCTTTACTTTTATTTTTAAAAAGTCTGTACCACACTTGGACAAGAGTAGTTCGAGGAAAGTGCGAAAAGCATTTATATCTATTAACTATGACAGATAACCTTTTATGGAGTTGAAATCTTTGATGTTCAAATTATCATTTTTCTACTTTTATGTCATCATAATAAGAGATGAAATGATTTCACTGATATTTGAAGAATATGAGTACAGTACAGGAGAAAAATGGTTTCAGCTTGCCAACAGATTAAATAACTAAAGAAATAAGATGAAACTGACCAAAGAGAAGCAGGTTGAATGTCAAGTGGAAGTTTTAAATTGTTGGGTCAGGAATGGAGTCTCAGGAGAAAATCCTGTGGCAGGAGTTATTTAAAATTAGACAAGTCATGTAATAAGGACAGATGGTAGAGCTTAATAGGTCCTCTCCAACTCTCATGCCTGTGATTTCATAACCTACCAGCCATTCTCCCCACAAAGGACGTTTGCTTCCAACTCGCTTTTTTGTGTCAGAACATCCTACCTCTGAAATGGAAGAGAATTAAATCTCTCCTGCTGCTCCTCTTATCCATGCAGAGCTTCTATTTTCTTTTCTCATTCTTTGCCTTCACTTTAAATGACAGGAAAGCCTGACAGGAAAGCCTGAATGAAACAGATAAGCTTTGAATTAACATTGCTTTAGGGAAGAACATCTAAGCCCCTTTACTTTTCTAGTCCTTCTGAAGAACTCTCTCCTGGCAGAGCAGCAGTTCCTACATCTCTGCACTGTCAACCTCAGGGTTTCTCTGTACCTCTTAGAAGCAAAAGGGATTGGTAGAGATGGTGGCATTGATGTAGGGCAGCATCTTGGCGTGCTCAGAAGTGGCCCGTTTGTTCAGAACACTCAGGGAAAATGAGGTTAGTAACATGTGAAAACTTCAGAAATCTGAGAGTCACAGAAGGGCTAGACAGCACAAAGAAAGCGTTTCTTTCTTGCATTTCTCAACAAAATTGTAACTGTTTCTAACGCTTTGGGAGGCAGCATAGAGTATTAGTAAAGATCATTAAAACAGATGATGTCTTAGCTAGATTTAAGTGTCAGTCCTGACATTTAGGCAAGTTGTCCAGCCTCTCTCTCAGCTTCAGTTCCCTTACCTGGAAAATAAAGCTGCAGATAATGGGACCTGACTTGAGAAGCATGTTATGAACATAAAATTGATTGCCATGTTAAAAAAATAAACAACTCAGAAAAATGCCTGGCACATGGAAAATGCTATATAAATGTTAGATGTTATAACTATTTTCTACTCATGCCACAAGATGCATTCAATAGACGCAAATTAGCTGTATTCTAAGGTGTTCTATGTAGTGGCTGGGGAGGAAAGTAGTTATTTTGCTCAATTTTCAAAAGTACATTAGGTCTTTTGGTATCTCCATTTTATTTAGCATGTAAACTTTTTCTAAGTTACATGTAACTTCAATGTTTTCAAAGTTATATTATCTTCTTTATCTTTTCTATGATGTTGGATTTTAGAAAATGACATTACTTTTGTATATTGACAGAATCTGACTCAATTTGTACCATTCTTCAACCTAAAACTTTCAATAATATTTATCTACTAGGATCAGTTAGTTTCTCATACACATTTACAACTCATAAAGCACTTTAAATCAGCTTTCTTCCTTCAGAAGGATCTGCAAGTTTCCAGAAAGTTCTACTACCTCACCAGTTTCTGCTGTTTCTACATCAACATCAACACATGCCCAGCACTTTTTGTCTTTACTTGGGATGTTGGGTGAGGAGAAGTTAGATTCAGTTCATGGAGAAATAAGCAGAAAAAGTGATAGAAAGACCTTGTACGAAAAACCTAATGGCTCAAGAAAGAGGTTTACTGTGTGCTTAAATTAATAAATGTAGTGAGCCATAGGTTTCAGCCCCCTCTGCCCAGAAGCAGGCAAGACAGAAAGCCTGGGGCTTAGGCAAGGAGCACAGCTGGGGTCCTAGGCAAGATGCTGAGGGCCACAGCCCCTCTGCCAGGAAGCAGGCAAGAGAGCATGCCCAGGGTCCTAGGCAAGGAGCCTAGTGCAGTACCCCTGCCCAAAACCAGGCAAGAAGGCACACTGAAAACAACACTTCTGAGTGGGTGGCCCACCACTGCCACCCCCACAGCCACAGTTGCTGAAAAAGCAACTCAACACCACACAGCAGCAGCCAAAGCCACTGTGTAGGTGGCCCTCCAGACACTCAACGGCATTAAGAAAAGGAGAGTCACCAGCATAGACTGAAAAAAGAAGAGGATGTCTCTCTCCTCAAAGCCTACTCCAGAGAAATAGAAGAAGCAACACCTCTGCCAGATGACCAGACATCAGCATAGAAATACTAGAAATATGAAAACCCAAGAAAATATGACACCACCAGATGAATACAGTAATTCTCAAACACCAGAACCTACAGAGCAGGAAGCCCTTGAAATGACTGAAAAAGAATTCTGAGCAACAATCTTAAGGAAACTCATTGAGATATGAGAAGACTCAGTTAAACATAATGAAACAAGACAAAAATCCCGGATATGAAGGAGTAAATGTACAAAGTGATTAATACTTTTAAAAAACATAGCAGAACTCATAGACTTGAAAGATTCACTCAGCAAAAAAAAAAAAAAAAACAAGCAAGAGCTTAAGCAGCAGGCTAGAACAAGCAGAAGAAAGAATTTCTGATTGTGAAGATAGTCTTTATTCATACAACCCAGGAAAACCAAAAAAAAAAGGAAAAAAGAACTGAAAAAAATGAAGAAAATCTAAGTGAGCTGGCAGACAACCTCAAGCACACAAACATTAAAATCATGGGTATTCCAGAAAGGGAGGAGAAAGGAAAAGACAGAAAACCTATTCAATGAAATAATAACAGAAAAATTTTCAGGTATAGGGAGAGACATCAACCATCAGATCCAGGATGCTCAAAGATCCCCAAACAGATTCAACCCAAGAATATCCTCTCCAAGACACATGATAGTCAAACTGGCAAAGTTCAAAGACAGAGAATCTTAAAAGAAGCAAGAGAAAAACATCAAGTCACCTGTAAGGAAGCCTGTATCAGACTACCAGCAGACTTCTCAACAGAAACTCTAATGGCAAGAAGAAACTGGATGATATATTCAAAATACTAAAAGAAAAAGACTGCTGTCCAAGAATTCTATAACTATCATAGCTATCCTTCAGAAATGAAGGGGAAATAGTATATTTTCCAGACAAACAAAAATGGTGTGAGAGTTCACCACCACACCACCAACTATACAAGAAACCCTCAAGGAAGTCCTGCATCTGGAATCCAAAAGACAGTAATGACTACCATGAATACACAAGAAAGAACAAAGCCCACTGGTAGAACAAAAATGAAAACAAGAAAGAGAAAGAAACTAAATCTTACAACCACAAATAGCCATAGTGACAATGCAATAGTGCTCCTACTTTATTTCTGATTTTGACAATTTTGATCTTCTCTCTTTTTTTCTTGGTCAGTCTAGACAAAGGTTTGCAAATTTTGTGGATCTTTTTAAAGAATCAAGTTTTGGTTTTGTTGATTTTCTCTATGTTTTTTTGATTTCCTAATACACATATTTCTGTTATAATCTTTGCTATTTCCTTCTTATATTTGCTTTTGGGTTGGTTTGCTCTACTTTTTCTATTTTCTTAAGGTAGAAGTTTACATTACTGATTAGAGATTTTTCTTATTTTTAATATAGGTGCTTACAAGTATAAATTTTTCTTCCATGAAAATATGTAAATTGCACTGCATGAGCCCTGCATCCTATAAATTTTGATATGTTGTGATTTGATCTTTATCTCAAAGTACTCTGTAATTGCCCTGTGATTTTTTCTTTTTAACCATTGTTTATTTAGGAGAGTGCTGTTTAATTTCCACATATTTGTGAGTTTTCTAAATTTCCTTCTGTTATTGTGGTCAGAGAACACATTTTCTATAATCTTATTTTAAAAAAATTAAACAAACAAAACAAAGTTAAAGTTCATGGAAAGATTTCCATTATCCTTCAATACTAATTTTCCATGAATTTTTTTAAGTGTCCTTGTATTTATATTCTTTTTTGCTGAGTTTTTATGCAATTTAAGTTGCTAAACTTAGATATTTAATTTATGTTCTTGATTTCTTTTTATTAAGTGGACTTGTTGATTTCCTTCAAAATTAATTTGCCTTTGAAAAGTTTATTCATTTTCCTTTGTTGAAATTAATTTGATATTTGTATGCTTTTGGAAGACGTTAGGGAGCTATTTCAAATAATTTTAGAGTTTATAAAATGAAATACATAAATTTAAAAATACAAAACATAAAACAAGCAAACAACCAAAAAAATGTACTTGACGTTCCAAGTTTTAAGGTGACCCTGTGGTTAATTCCAAAGAGCTCTAGAAGATACTTCCAGAAAGTTGAAGGATTTTAAAAAAAATTTTCATTTGGCCATATAAATTCCCATGTAGTTAAGGAAAATACCTATTTAATCATTCTTTTTGTGTAGAACCTTAAAAAATTTAAATGAAAGTCAAATCAGTATTACAACAATATGTTAAACAACATTCAGCTAATCCATATAGAAAATAAAAAAAAGAAAAAGGTAACTTTCCTTTTCTAAGCATTCTAGCAAGTTTATAAAGTCACATATGAATATAAATAAGATCCATAACAGAATATGCTATGAAACAGCAGAGAAATACAATGTACACTAAGAATTCAAAAGAAGAAGTGGTCACTTCTAATTACGAGGCTTTCTGAAGAAGTTGGCAATTTGATTTAAATTACCTTAAAAAATTAGTAGGATTTCTACAAGGTATAATTGGAAGGGAAAGTGAAAGGACAAGAAAACAGAAAAAAAAAAAAAAAGAGGCCGGAACAACCCCCCGCACCACACACCATGAGAACAAAGAAGCCAGCTGTGGGCCAGCTCTGCCCCCTTCCCCTCCACCTCCCACCACTCTGCAACAACATCTCAGAATATAAAAATAATAATAAAAAACAATTTCATAAAAGACCCAAAAAGGCCATAAAATTTCTAGGTGTTTGGAAACATTAAAATAATCTAATTTTGTAGAAGTTCTGTATGTAAACAGATGAATCATAAGAACTATGGTTGGAAAATGATATTGAAGTCATAGTACAGAAGCCTCAAACATCAGAGTGAATTTGTACTTGGTTTTATAGGAAATAAAGAGATAGTAAAAGATCATGAACAAGAGACCAATTAGGTTGCACATAAGTAAGCATTATCAAGCAATCATACATGGGATACATGGGATAAAGAATTCCCGTGGAGAGTCAGAGAACTAGGAGTGAGACACACATGGAAGTAGATAGTGAAAGTGATGGCCTGACTTAAGTGAGACCTCCGAGTGTTGTGACGTTCCTACTCCTTCACCTGGTGAGATGTTCCAACAGAAATACCATGTGAATGCCCAGTTTTCACACTGAGTGGAATAAGTGGGGCTATGTACAACTGATTGAGAGCTCATCAAATGAAGAAGCAAACTGTCTTATTTAAACTATTGGGGGCAAAAAGGATGGATAATTTTGAGAAGACTTAGGAGAGACATAATAGTGTCTTCTAAACAGTTGTACAGCTAGCAAATACATCTTACCCTTAATGGTCTCAGAAGACAAAGTCAGACACAATAGGTGCACATAAGTTTAATCCCAAAAAAGAAAAGAATTTTCTTATTATGTTGAAATAAAATGGGCTGCATTGGATATAATAATACAGTGATTCCTGCTGCATCCAGTATGTGTTAAACAGAGGTCAAGTGATACCTATAAGCAAATGTAGACAAAACTTAAGGACAATTGGGTGGTTAGAAAAAGTAAATTTTTGCTTAAGCTGCATTTCTCTACTTTTACAATTCATAATTTTATGAAGAATTTTCATCTTCTAATTTGCCAACTAAAGAATTTAGCTGGTAAGACAAAAATGATAATTTAATATTATATATTATTTTACTATATTCCTAATATGCAATTCTATATGATATTTATGGTGTTTACTTATTTATGCAAAATTTATAAGCTACCATATAGTCTACATAATTAATTATGTTTCATCTTGTCACTGACATGAAACTCTTAGCATCATCTTGTCATACCGAAAACTCCAAATATATTACTGCTTAATGAGTAGACAACAGATTTAAAATATTTTGAATTATAGTTAATTGAATATGAAGATGGCAAAACATAAATAGAAGCATGGTGTGTGTTTATGTTAGATAATTGCAGCTAATTAAAAATATTTCTGAATAGACTAACCATTTCAGTGCTTAACCATGGCATTTAGTGGTATTTTAATTACTTCCTTCCCAACTACATCCTAAGCAACTAAAAGTAAGGTCAACTCAAAAGGGCTTTGGAGTTGGGCATTTAGAGAGTGAATTCTGGAACCTCTCCTCTATATCTACTCTTTTCCATCACGTTGAATAACTGAGCACTAACTAAATAGCTAAAAGAAGTTCTCAGCATTATATAAGTGATGTGTTAATATAAAATGTTAACATTTATTTGTACTTTATGTTTTGTAATGTAAATCCAATTAATGTGCGTATATTACATTAATTAAGATGTTTGATAAAACACTCATTTAGTCTAAACAATGTTTGTCTGACTGGTCTAAATATGCATTGATATATCTATAGCAGTTCAACTAGTATTTCTTTTCTTTATGTCCTATTCTTACTCTGCATTTATAAATGAATGAGTTTGAATTTTATATGCAACACTGCCTATATTTTTCTGTTGAAAAGCACAAGAGAAGATGCCTGATTTCAAGTAAATACTAGATTTCAGCATTCTATAAAAAATCGTATTTCAATCAAAATAGATTAATCCAATATTTCATTTGCTCCATGTCATATTTTGTTACATGTCTCCTGTTTCCTGCCATAATATATCAGAGTCAAACTGAGGATAAAATTAATTCCCCTAAGAAAATCTTCCAGATGTTCTTATCCCAACAACTCTTTGCACACTTGAAATGACTCAAATCATTGGTTGAAATAATGAACTCCAGACCAGAATGAAAACTTTTTTGTTGATTTTACAGGATTTTACATTTCTACGCCAACTGGACCAGGAGGGAGAAAAGAAAGAGTAGGACTTTTAAGCTTACCTTTAGATCCCACTGTGGAACCAGTCTGCCTTAGTTTCTGGTATGTTGTAGATGCATGTAAAATGCTGTCTTATTTAATGAGCGACATTGCCTTTCTCAGGTTACCAAGCTCAGATTTCACAAAGATGTTGGCCAAGATTTAATTGCATATGCCATTACTTTGAAATTTTTTGTGTTATCTGCAATTTACCAGATATATTATAGTATATAATATAAATTACACTATAAGAAGGATCATCCATTAGAAACAATCCTGTAAGAAGATCCTTAATGTCCCCAGATATATATTAGGAATATTTTATGTAAACAATATAGCATAGCTGTTTTTATTCAGGTCTTTTGCTGGCATATACGAGGGTACTTTTAAAAATTTGTACAAAAATAGAATTGAAAGGAAATACGGGTCTTTCCATGAACTTTTTAAAGTATGATTTTACTGACATACAAGCGGGAAAATCTCTTTCTCAAAAGTCGTTTGATTATAGAGTATTTGTTTATGCAAATTAATATACTTTTTCAATAAGCTTGACTGCAATGTTAGAATGCAGGTTTTTTTATTTTTTTATTTTTATTTTTTTTTAAAAAAAGATGACCAGTAAAGGGATCTTAACCTTTAACTTGGTGTCGTCAGCACCACGCTCACCCAGTGAGCTAACCAGTCGTACCTATATAGGGATCCAAACCCATGGTCTTGGTGTTATCAGCACCTCACTCTCCCAAGTGAGCCATGGGCTGGACCCTAGAATGCAGTTTGAAAGCAAGGAATACTGCCCCAAATGCCAGGAGACCTGCCACTTCCCAGGTACCCATGTGAATATTTTTAATTATTATTTGTATTATTATTAGCATATTCATCATTACAAATCTTAATCTTTCCCCATGCCCTCCACCTGACCTATCACTCCCCATGCTCCCTCCTGCTCACCTCTAGTATCCTTAGGTTTGTTCCCTCCTTCTGAAGGTTCAATGTATTATTGTGGTCCTTTCTTTCTTTCTTTCCTTCCTTCCTTCCTTCCTTCCTTCCTTCCTTCCTTCCTTCTTCCTTCCTTGCAAGAACCCAGTTATGAGTGAAAACATGTCGTATTTCTCTTTCTGTGTCTCACTTATTTCTCTTAACATAATTTTCTCCAGGTTCATCCATG